GCAGCGCGGCGCGGCTCCGCTGGCGGGCCCAGGCCCGGAGCGCCACGGCCGCGCCGCCCGCCAGGGCCAGCGCCGCTCCGCAGAGCGCGGCCGTCTGCAGGCGGGAGCCCATCGCCGCCCCGCTCTGTACACCGACACCGCGCCCGGCACCGGCACCGCGGGCACCGCGCACCGGCTCCGCGCACGGACAGCGCCCCCCGCAGCCCCGAGCGCCGCGCCCGCCGCGCTCCCAGGGCCAGGCTGGGCACACGCGAGCGGCGATGAAGCAGCGACCCGTGCCACGGGTGGCTTTTCGCTGTCACAGGGAGGCCACGCTTCCCCCACGCCCGCTGCTGCCCTCTCCTTACCCCAGTCCCACGGGATTTGTTCCCAGCCTGCTTCTGTCTGCGCGCCCATCTCTGGCGCAGCAGTCAGGGCACTGTCCAGGCACTCGGGACAGGCAGGGCTCCAGCAGTGCCACAAGTCAGCGTTTCCATCAGGCTAGAGTTTCAGCCAGGTTTGACCAGAGAAGAACAGCGCCTTTTGAACAGAGCTGCATTCTCCAGAAACTGGAATGCTGTAGGACAGTGCTCTCTCTGCTGAAGGCACCAGCTGCTTGCTAAGAGAAGGCACAGCGCCAGGGGAGTAATTTAAAAACAATACTCTTTGTTCAGCACTCACTTGGCAGCAAATGGCTCTGGCAGCCATTCATACAGCTGTTTTCTCTATGCTCATTCTTTTCACTCAAACAACACACTTTCAGCCCCCCTTCCAGATACTCCCAGCATACAGTAAAGGGAATAAAAACTGGATTCTACTTACTAGATTTTTACTCCGTGGGGACTCAAGATTTGGGTTTTTTTAAGCCATGGTAACATTTCCCTTGCTCCCTGCCTTTTCAGGTCTTTGCTTTAAATCCTTTCAGAGACAGAAGCCTTTGCCTTTTGGGCTGACATCTGACAACTCTCTCTGAGGTTCTATTTCTTGCACCTTGACAGTCCATGTCTGGAAAAATGTTTTGGCTACATTCAGATCAAACCAGAAATTTCAAGACAGGTGTTGAGAGATAGTAGTTGTTAAGCATGAATAAGTCTTCAGCAGCATGAGTTACACAGTTATAATTTTGTGTGATGTAGTATGCTGTTTTCTTAGCTTTACTTGCTTAGCTGGATTTGCTGATGCCTCGGGCCACAAGCTGTGAACTTGCACCTAGATACCTTTTCAGCTGGAATGGAGTTAGTTTTCTTAGTAATTTTTCTAGTAGCTGGTACACTGCTGTTCTGTCTTTAGTACAAGATACATATTGATAACACTGCTTTTTTCATTGTTGGTAAAGACGTTTATCCTAAGCCAGTTTTTTTAGTTTCACATGCTTTTCCAGCAAGCAGCTGCACCAGCAGCACAAAACAGAAGATAAGGAGACAACCATCAGCAGCAGTTGCAACTTCACAACCTAAGAACTGTTAACAGCCTTCCTGCACAAACACAGAGAAATACCTCACTAAGGTGTTAAAGATCCAGACCAAAAATACCCATGGACCAAGAGGCAAGTGCAAGGTGCGTGTAGGGCAGATGCATAAGTCTCAAAGGTATAATTGCTTGGGGATTTCTTTGTTCTGGGTCCCTTTCCAGAGTCAGCCAGCTTAAGCTGACCTGCTGCTGTACCATTCAAATTATTTATTTTTATAAACCCAACACCTGAGACTCTGCTATGGGAAACCTATGGTCGAGCCCAAAGAAGGAAGAAGTGCACTTGGGACAATCAAGCACCTTGAGTTCCCCCTTGTTTTGCCAAGTCCATTAGAATAAGGCAGCTGGCTTGCAGAAAACAGGACACTGAGTCAGCTGCCATACACTTTGCCATACTCCTAACAGCGTCCTTATCCCCCTTCAGATTATCTTCTCCTATATGATCTAGTCCTGATGATGCTTTCCAAGACGCTTTGTGTGTGCCTGCGCTCTGTGCGGGTCAATGACTGACTGGGACAAGATATAAAACACTGTGCTTGCATGACACACCGTCAGATGCATTACCAGATAAATCTGCTAAAGGCCTAATCCAACATATGCAGGAGCGTAAAACTACATTTCAAGAACAACTTGATTATCCCACGTCTCTTAAATGTTTGGCAGCCTGGACAGATTTCTTCGTAGGGGCTACATGTGAGTTTGGCAACAACCCAAGGCACGATGGGGGCAAATGTGAGCAAGGGAACTTGGTGGGCAAAGACATCACGGCACCTATACCAGCCCATCTCCCCCCAGACCACTGACAGGCAGGACAGAGATCCCGATGCCAAGAGTCTTTCGCCAGCACTTTCTTTTGATCTTTATTCTGCAACCAGCATCACCTACTAAAGGAGAGAGGTTACACATCGTGCTTTTTACCACCCTCCTTTAGCCCCTTTCTTTTTCTTCTGCTGCTGTTTCTTCTTGGTGGCTGCAGCACCAGCGGGTTTTTGGTGCCTGGGAGGGATGACGTTACTTGTAGCCGATACAGCTGCAGCGCTGCCAGGCCGAGGGGAGGTAGGTGGGCTGCTGGCAGTTCTACTGGCATCCCTGCAGGGAAGACAAGAGAAAGAGATACCACGTGGCTTTACAACCACCTGCAAGATGTGGTACTAATGCAGGAAGCTGACAGTGAAAAATACAGCTGCCCCGTAAGATAGCATTATGTATGGGAAGGCACTCGTGCAAGATCTTAAATAAGCTTCAACATACAGAAGGGCTGATGGATAATGGGAACATGTCTCAAAGACAAGGCAGTCACCTTCTAGTTGATGTTCCCTAATAGTTTAAGTCCTCAATAACAAAAGTAAGGCTAACTTTTGAATACGTGACAGCTCATGCAACACACAAGAAGCCTTTCAGGCCCCCACTCTTAGGCAGTGGAAACCCAGCATCCTTTCTCTCTCAGATGCTAGTGTCACTATCTTGCCATCTATACATAAAGGTAATCCCTGATTCCAGTGCAAATAATGTGTCAACTTAGAAGGAAGTACAGTGTTTTCTCAAATCATGGCTAATGGTTCTCCAGCTGCCAAATGACTTGAAAGCAAATAGCTCAAGAGAAAGCATGCAAAATTCATCTTATCATCAAAGCTAGATAAAGCACATTAAAGGACTATGGGAATTTTATTTGCACCATGGCACCTTCAAGTATGCCTATCATATCACTTTGGTTTTCAGCAACCTATAGGGAGAGCAGCTGGTAGCAGGTTCAAGCAGTAAAGTACAATTTCACTTGTGCCACCTGCAGTTGGTGTGGGGAAAGAGCCACAGCAGAACAGCACAAACCCATCCCTCCCAGCAGCCCAAGAGTGATTCCCTGCATCAAGCCTTGCAAAATGGGTACTTACAGTTCAGACGAGCCAGCTGTGGTTGAACCCTGAGTCCCCTTGCCAACCTGCTCCTTCTTCTTGCCCTTCTTCCGCCCACGATAGTAGGAACGCTCCCGCATTGGAAGCCACCGCTCAGGGTCAGGAGTCACCTTGGGATCGTAGTTCTTAGGCAGCTTTCCTGCAGAACATCCAGTGTCAGGGAATGAGACTGGGATCAACACACTAGTCAGGAACATGTATGGGATGTCAGAAGCCAGGCAGTGCAAAGAGCCCAGCAACCCACATCATCCTATGAGGGTGTTGCTCTCACTTCTATGAAAAATGCCCCATCTAAACAAGATCTGTGTTCACAGGGACCCAGTCCTAACAGGGGGCTCTGGCTCCTGGGGAGCTGGAGGCTGGCTATTTGAAGAAACAATCTGGAGAGCTCTCTAGAGCCGTGCTATGTCAACAGCTAGGAAATGGAACTTACCCTTCTTTTTTTTCTTCTTCTTCTTCACTTCCCCTTGTCTGAAAAGCAAGAAGGGGAACAGACATTGTGACACAGCATGGACAGAGCAGACAAAGTCAACTGAAAACTAGCTCTGGAAGAAGCTAAACCATCTCTCTAAGAACTTGGTCTGCTGCTACATGAAACTTCTTGCAGTTAAACAACAGGCTCCCTTTTCACCAGTGTGCTTTCCACAGCTATGCCCCCACTACACCAGGTGTGGTTCCTGTGCCACCCAAAAGAAGGATGCTCCAGAGCTATAGCAGCCTGCTTTACCCTTGCTCCTTCTGCTGGTTGTCTCCAGTGAGCTTCCCAGCTTTCTTCCGAACATAGGTTGCTCCATGGGAGTTCTCCAGCGCATCGACATCTACTTTCAGTGACATGGTGTCTGAGGAAGGCAAGTGTTTGCTAAGACTGCAAAGGAAGAGTTCAGGGATGCAAACGAACAAGCATAAAGACTAAGTTTTTTTCCAGACAGCAAGAGGCAACTTCAGCTTGAATAAATTCTGTCTGTTAACAATGCAGGCACCAGACAGGCCTACTGGGCTAGTTCTGTCTCTCTCACCAGGTTCTTATACCAGTTGAGATGAGCTGCTTAATTGCCATCTGCCTTATTTTTCCCTCTTTAATATGGGGACAGAAGGAGTAACTTCCCCTGAATGCACCTTAAGAGACAAAAGCAGTATGTGAACGCTATTTTGGGTGAGTGAGACTTTAGTCATATTTTATCAGGCACAATCCTGCATTACTACCACAGGTTTAAGATTCCAACAGAAAAGATGGAGGTGTTCCTATTTTTTGTTCCACTGAGTCTTAAGTTATCAATTCTCAAAGAAAAGGCAGCCAAAGACAAAAGGGGCCAGAGATCTCACCATAATCAAGCCAATTAGGGACATAATGTAGCTCCAGACAACTTGACCTGGATATGTTGCTGTTCTGGAGATGTTCCTTGCCTTTCTTCAGGCAAGAGTGAGTCTGAAGTCCCCACACAGCTGAAAATTCAAGTGAGCAGTGCCCAAATGCCTCTTTCTTTGGTCTGATACCACCATCAAAAGGATACACTTTAGCTTTTTCAGGGTCAACCAGGGAATAGGCAGAGATGAGCTGTGCCAGAGTATGCACATCTTTTGGGTTTTGCCTTTGTAGGGGAAAAAAAAGACAAAACAGAAAAGGACCAAGTTACCAACGTTACTGCTCCCAAAGACTGGTATCACCATGCAGGAGCTTGCTGCTGCAGCACAGCTGCTGTCTGTGAGGACAGGCATATCAGCCTGTGGTCTCCTCCACAGCACATCACCAAACATCACTAGTGTGGACAAAGGGAGGTGCAGACAACCCCACAGTGTCATGAAACAGACAATGAAAGATGAAAAACCCAGTAGCAAAGGCAAGTTAACAGTTCCCCTACCACCCAAAATCCCATCAAGTGCACAATAAAAACTAAAACCTAAACATCCAAGAAAAAATTGTGCATCCCAGTCCCCAAAGCAATCTTTGCTGTACACAAGAGGCCTCTGGGACAAGTCTACCTGGTTTTCAAGTGAACATCAACTATAGATCAAATGAATTCTCTCTCCTCCTTCCAAAATATGGCTTTGCATTGAAGCCCCCCTCCAGAAGCAACTCTAAAGAATGGCTACCAGTTAACAAAAATTGTGTCAGATAATGCCTGCCACCAGACAGCTTGCAGAGGACTCTGGGTTAAGACCTGTTGCTCAGCAACCACCCTACTCACTTCCAGAGCTCTTCCAAGTCGCTGATTGCTTCCTTCTTCCTGCCATGCTTTAGTTTGAAGTTGGCAGCTTCCCTTATCAGTGACAAATGGACAGGAGACTTTGG